CCCCAAAACCCCAAAACCCCGTCTGGAACAAATTTTAATATAAATATATTTTTTAAAAGTTATAAACTAATAAAATGAAAACTAATTTATTGATTTTAGGAATACTTGTATCAAGCTTTGGAGAACGAGTAAACACAGCTACATAAGTAGCTTTGAATGGCTTTTGCACATAATGTATCGGTTCAGGCTTTTAATATTGCGGAACTACATGCTAGAGCGTAGGTGATACTTGCGGAACAACAGCATCATAGCATATTTATAATACATGTGGAACAACTAATCAAGTTTCAGCAGCTCCTTGTTCGGTTATTTATAATATAGGCGGAAACAATACTGCATCCAATAGAAGATATATCGATACAACTTTGACCTTTGGAAAGTACTGCATCATATTACTATAAAATGGCATCTCTGCAGGTAGTGGGGGTTCTGTTACATGGTTCTTAAATGGCAATTCAACTGTCAATGTTTTTAAAAGATCTCAATTATACAGATCCATACTGGGATTCACAGATGCAACTCTCTATGATATGGCTAATTATGGTGTTCCAATTGCCATTAATACTTCTCAGAGTATTTAGATGGGAGGCTCTGATTTGATTATACTTGTCAATCCCAGGACTACTGCAGCAACTTTAACTTTTTCTATAAACGCATATGGATTTGAAAATGCTTTTGGACTTTTGACAATACTTCCTTTAACTATTTTACTGGTTTTAACTTAATTACTTTTTTGAATATATAAAACATAGCTCAATTTATAATTTTCTACTGTATATTTCTGATAGATATGATTAATTAAAATTTGATTTTGAAATTTAAAAATATTAATGTCTCTAACTAATTTCAATTCACCAACCCACTCCTCTATTTTTCTTGATAAAATAAATAAGGCATCACTAGAGATCACAAAAACTAATGAAAGACTGGCAAAACTGTAGTCATAAAGAAAACATATGGAACTTGCAATACCTCTCTTTATGAAGAAAGATAAAAGTGCGAGTAGTGATGGATTATTAAATCAGAGTAACAATGAAATCAGTAAAGAAGAACAAGTTTAGTAAAACTTAGCATAAGATTCAACATTGTAAATTAAGATCAGCAGCATCTAAGGACTTAATCCAGCTGATTATGAAAGAGACGAACTTGACAAATGCTACATTAGAATCCTGCTTGATGATGATAACTATAATACAGGAGTAAGTAAACTCCATTAAATAATATTCCATGAAAATCATAAGTTATTGACAATATTTCTTTAGTTTGGAAAAGTCAGTTTACAAGATAATGGCCTTCTTGATATTGAGTGGGAGGAATCTATCTATGTTAAAGTAGGAAATGACAAAGGTATGAAATAAAGAATATCCTTATAAAAGCATATATTAGATGTAGCCAGTACTTAAATCTATATAATCATTTGCATTAACAATGAAAAGGAAATTTCCTATCTTGACAAAATGATATCTACTGTACGCTAATTTAATCTATATATGATTTTTTTATAGTATGAGATGAATCTAATTGATTACTCAGATTAGAGATCTAGGATGATACAATATGATGTAGAAGATGAAAATAAAATAGGCGAGAGAGGATCACAAAGTTAAAGTTAATTTTAGTTGCCTAAGTTTACATTTTAACTCAGATTTTGCTATTCAAGAGTGAGAAATTTTTATCATAATATTTTATAGGTATTATTTTAGTAAGGATTATTATCAGATCTTGCCGCTCTAATTGATAAGGAATATGAATATCTTTAGTATCTCCAAAACTGCATCTAAGCAATTAATGAAGTTATCATCAGAACTTAATCCATAGTCAGAGGTTTTCTAGTAAGAAGACATCATTTAAGGTGACTTTCAATCGAATATAAACATCTTAACTTTTCAAATTTATGAAATTAAGATTAGTTTAAAATTTTTATTCAATCATACCATTTTTATTTCTTTCATACAATATTTCCATTTCATTATCTTTGATTTCTATCTAGCCTTTTTCTGTAGATAGGAATATTTTGTTCATAATCATCAACTCTCATGCTAAGAGTATCATTTATTCTATTCCCTATCGGCTTTATAATATTTGCATCTGCTAGCTGATTATCTCTTAAAGACTATGAAAAACTTGGTCCTCCTTGCAAATCATAATTCGTCCTTTAAATTGGAGATACAATGTTATTATTATATATCTTGATATTATTCCATTCGCTCTAGCTTTACCTATTCAAGTTATCATCTACTATTTGAGATCTTTGCTTTTACTGGTTATTATATTGATTAAATGAAGGTCCAAGATAATTGAGGCCTTGTAGATCATTATTTAGAGACACTAAATTATCAAATAAGGCATGATTTCTAGGTAGATTATTCTCATTAAGATTAGACAGAGTGCTTGTTTCTAGTTTCGGTTAATAAACCTATTTTTCAGGTGAAATACTGGTGAATAGATTATCTTTGGTCTCGTATTAGTCAAATTTCTTCTAATTTCCTTTTGACAGATCTCTTAAATCTTTCATCAACTCATCCTATTCTCTTAATCTTCTCTATTCATATGCTGCTTGATTCCTACTGAATATTTCTTCAGTTTCAAACTCTTTGTAAAGATTTTTTCTCTGTCTATACTCTTCTATTTCTCTATTGTGAATTTCCTAGACTATTCTGCATTTTTAGGTCATAAAAAGGAACAAAAGAATCCCAAAGGTTGAACAGTAGAATATGATAAGCATCATTTTCATTTTATCCATATATTGCTCATGCCCAATTGTATATATATTTAATTCATATGTTCCATTTAGCATGATCAAGTTTAGGTATAGATACTCATCTTATTGCAATTGATATTTTAGGGAACCTATTCTTACTATATCCTCAGATTGGGATACTTCACTTGTAAATGAATCACCTCCCACAGAAGCTTATACTTTGACATTAGTTGCGTTAACTATTCTAATTACTGTTATCTCTCCATCAGCCTGTGATATTTTATAAGAACAGACATTACCAAATGATTTACTGTCATTAGACTTAATACTAAGCATTTTTTTTTCAGCCTTGATGATGTTTGTATTGTATCCGCATTTTTAAATATCAAAATTACACACTGAGTATTTCATGTACACTGAGTCTATCATGTTAGAGCAATTCATTTACCTCAAACTTGTAGTGCAAGTGTCAGTGTAAAAATTGCTATTAGAGCAGCAACTTCCATTCTTATTATTTATACTACACCAATACAAGGATGTCGACAGTAAACATTAGTTACATGTATATTTTGAAATGTTCAATATCTATAACTCTCAAGAGGTTCTTGTCCTATTCAAATCTCCTTGAGCCTCGACAATGGTTAAGTGCAATGCCAATAAAAACGAAATTAAAATTAAATGTCTTTTCATTTTTAGATATTTTTTTAATTATATTAATTGAATCTCTCAATTCTCAAAATTGACTCATCCTGGGGTTTTGGGGTTTTGGGG